CAACTCCTTATTTGGGGTTTCTTTTATTTTGGTGTCTCCTCAGTTCCTTCTGTGATCTTTCTATATCTAACCTTAATTTCGTTTTTCAGTGGTACATTTTGTGTATAGTGAACAGTTTTAGGGTAGGACGGTGTGTAAAGGGAACAGTTTTAGAGTAGGACCGGTGTGTAAAGTGAACAGTGTAAGAGTAGGACCGGTGTGTAAAGTGAACAGTTTTAGAGCAGGACCGGTGTGTAAAGTGAACAGTGATAGAGTAGGACCGATGTGTAAAGTGAACAGTGTTAGAGTAGGACCGGTGTGTAAAGGGAACAGTGTTGGAGTAGGACCGGTGTGTAAAGGGAACAGTGTTGGAGTAGGACCGGTGTGTAAAGGGAACAGTGTTGGAGTAGGACCGGTGTGTAAAGTGAACAGTTTTAGAGTAGGACCAGTGTGTAAAGTGAACAGTGTTAGATTAGGACCGGTGTGTAAAGTGAACAGCCCGTAATTATGAGCTACTCAACTATAACAACAGTCTGGTAGGCGAACATCATTGTTTGGGTAAGGCAATAAAAACAAAACAACAACACCAATACGTAATTAAATAAATCCTTTAATATATTTGTACTGGAAAAGGTATATATCCCATGTATTTAACATATAGATACATAGTAGGGCCGATTTCACTTGGGTAAAACCGCAATTTCCTCCTACATTTTTCGACCGACCTCTTTGAAAATTGGTATACGTTATAACCATGGTATGAAGTTGTGGCTCCCGTAAACGAATTTAAATTCGACAATATTTCAAAAAGTTATTGACCTTTGTTTATTTCAGTTTTTGATTTTTGTCCAGCAATTTCCTCCTACATTTTTCAACGGATCTCTTTGAAAATTGGTAAACATTATAATCATGATATGAAAGTGTATCTCCCATTAACGAATTTTGATTCGACAATTTTTCCAAAAGTTATGGCCCTTTGTTCATATCGGTATTTGATTTGTTTGTCCGGAGATCTCCTCCTACATTTTTTGACGGATTTAAACTTAGTAGGCTCATGATATGTTGTGTTTCCTTGAAAAGAATTTTGATTCGACAATTTTTGCAAAAGTTCATTTTATATAGCATGTCAGCTAACCACTCTTAGAATGATGCAGATCTTATTTCAATGTAAGAAAGTATATAACACTATATGGCATTCGACGGTCGTATATTGTTCCGCCCCGCGGTACTCTTGTTAGAAATTGTCCTCAACCTACCTAGGCCAGACATCAAAGTTTATAATGATTGATGTTCTTACATCTCCAGCACACAAGCAGGCACACACACATAGGGAGATATTTACCAGGTGGCATAGGACTAGTAGTTAGCGGCTGATACAAATTCCTCAAAAATTGTATTGATTAATGTATATGCTAATTGTATTAATTGTATATATGTGCAGTAACGCACTTTAAAGTGGCTTAGTCTAGCTAGATAGGGCAGTATATAAAATGTTGTATATCATTAACTTTATCTTCAATATTCTGGCTGAAGCAGAAAAGGACTATTATTTGGATTAGGCGTTCACATAACTTCACAAGATTTTAAACATCTTCCCTGGTTTAACAGGAGACATATTGAAGGTCCGGGTGTAGGTAACGCCTATTCTTCTGGAACGCCAGGATTTCTTGTAGGCATTCATACAGTTTTTCCGTTCGTTGTCGGCTGTAACCCTGGTGTTGGCAATGTGTACCGACTTTTGAGTTCAGATTTTGTTCTTGTTCTTTGACGATATGATAATATTCACATAGCGACCATTCAATATAAGATTATTTGTGTATTGAAGATGTAGGTAATATTTACATTCAAACTTTTAAACCGTTTCTTTCCTTGCGTATTAATCTGGTGTTGGTCTTTACGTAATAAGTTAAGAGCACAGATTTTGTCCTTTCGTATAGCATCACAGATGTGATAGTTTTGTGGTAAAGACTGAGTTTTATATCTTGTCTTTGTGTGTTAGCGATGTTTAATCTTCACGTTATGACTTATTAATTCAGACCTTATCCTCCTGTATTGATGATGTGGTGTTAGATTCTATTTTACTAGTTTCAATAAAAGGAAACTTTTCAATGACCAATTAATACATGGCTTATCATTTTGAATTAGAAAATATGTAGCTGGTATCTCAAAATCTTAGGAAATTTTTTTTCCCCGATTAAATTTAACTCAAAAAATAGTCTCAATACGGCGTGGAAATGAATTATGTTTACTGCTGTATGCACTGTGTCTCTTAAGTCTAGAGTTTCTCTTAAGTCTAGAGTTTCTCTTAGGGCATCAAGTTGTTCTTTGTCTTTATAAGACCAAGCTGTAATATATAGTAATGTATGAAAAACATTCTGACCATTGCAAATGTAGAGACCAGAATCGCCATGTTATGTTTGTCGATTCAAAGCGACATTACATTGGTGGCATATAATTTGTAGGAAAAAACAACATAAGACATTCTTCATTCTTTAAGATTTCATTTTTACAACTATCCAGTGATCCCTTGTAATGCATTAACAACAATGATTAAAACAGAAATGTACACTGATAGTCTATGTCAGTCTTTGGTATCTCTCAAGTTAACCTCGTCCGCTAACAGGTTAGCAGACCAATGTTATTCTCGTTAACAACAGATAATTTGTCAACAACAGTTACCAGTGGTTAGCACTGGTTAATGGTGTAAACATGCGTTAACTCTCTCTCAGCATGTCGACATGGTCAATGCCACTTGTTAAGTATAAAAACTATATGGATCAATGGAAGACAATGTTACAGATGATGCCATGTACAATTCGGTCAAAACTATTTTTTTTAATATTTACTGTTTTCATTTCAAATGATGATCAACAATCAAAGGCTGACGAAAGTGGTGTTCGTCTTTCCGTAATTAAGTTTTTTTCTCTACATTATATTGTTTTCTTAATATGTTATTTGAAACTTCCTTTTTCAATATCTTAATCTCCAAGACAAGATTTTCTTTTGTCACTTTTTAATAAACATGAATAAAAAACAGTAGATCTTAAAATCTATGCTAAAACATGAAAAATAAAATCTATTGCAATATTCCTTTTCTTGGAAGCTCTGTTAAAAATAGTCATTATTTACATCACTTTCCCTTTGTAACCAATCTCAGAATAATGATCCACAAATCAGCACCTGAAGACATCAGCCTCTTGGCAGGGAAACAGTGTAAAACAGTGATTGAAACATCAGACATTTTAATCCAAACAAATTTGTTAACTTGTAATTGAGTTCAAGTGATATTTTTGTCTAAATTAGCTTCCTCTGTGTTAAGTACAGTCGAATCTGCTAGATACCACCATTATTACCGTATTTATCCAGCAATAAGCCGCGGGGGCCAACATATAATATCTGACTGAAAGCACCTAGATGGGCTTATTACAATGAAAAAGCTTTTGTTAGCATTTTTTCCTAACTGCAATACATATTGGTGGGCTTATTACCAGGCATGGGCTTATTACCAGGCATGGGCTTATTGCCAGGCATGGGCTTATTACCAGGTATGGGCTTATAACCAGGCATGGGCTTATTGCCGTTATATACGGTAAGATATCCTCTCTCTTCAAAAGCGGCCACCAATTTCTTATACCAATAAAATAGTTAATATATGTTTATACTCTTTTAACTCATTCACCCCTTCATATCTAAACTGGACTTGCCCAGTCTTTGATTGGGTAAGGTTCAAGTATGACTTTTAGGGGTGAATAGGTTAAGAGACCACATCTGTAAATAGATGAGTCTCCCCTTCATTGGTGTGTTACTACAGATTAGATTATGGTATATTTAACTAGTAACAACCAGATGCAACATCACAGTTGTTAATCATCTTTCCCTTAATAATTTTTATATGGATATTTAGTGTAATGAAAATGTCATGATGAATATATTACATAATGTATAAGGATGAATAATCTCAACACTGGGTTTGTCTTCAACCCATTAGCTTACTCCCACTCTCTTGTAATGCATGCATAAAACTTGTTAGTACAGTAAGAATGAAAATATTATGCTTATTTAGGTTAACATTGATCAAGCACTAGTCGTACTGGCAAGACACAATCCAGACTATCAACTACAGGTATCGATAACTAATATGTTTGATTAACGGAAACAGAAAACTTGTCATAAACATTTTGAAAATACAATTGGCAGTGTTTTTACCCCTACAAAACTTTTCTGTTGAAGTATAAAATAATTCCCAATAAGGTTTATTGACCAGAAAGTCTTTTTCCTAGAAAGGGATTCACGGTTTACTGAATAATAAAGCTTTGTTTTTCTGAAATAACCATGTTTCTCATGCAAGATAAAGAAATTAATCCCAATACCAGCAATAATTTCTGAATGGACTTGATGCTTTATAAAGCTGTAATAATTATATGTAAGCACAATACACCAATGTAACATTAGCAACATACCTCTTTAAAACTTCTGAATTTTTGTTTTGCAAATACATGTACACTTAGCTGTTATTAGGAAAATTGATTTTAACCTAAAAAAAGGTTTTAAAAAGTACATGCTTGTTTTAACTCATTCACCCCTGAAGGCACATTTGAACTCTTCCAATTCAAAGGTTGGAATAGTTCATTATGAAATTTCAGGGGTGAATGAGTTAATGTCTTGATTTGTTATTATTACTGTAAACATACATATGTTCGCAGAAGTAACATTTTAGTCCTTTATCAGGCTTTAAACGTTGTACTAAATTATGATTGCACCAATTGAGGATCATGTTTATTATTTTCTATTAAATATTTGGTGGGTGAGCCAATTCATTAATGCACTAATCTGTTAAAATTCAATAATGCACTAATATCTCAGTGCACTAAAATAAGTATGTTTAGTACATTACTTCCATACCCTTAAATATTTAACTCATTCACCCCTGAAATGTCATAATGGCCTATTCCAACCTTTGAATTGGAAGAGTTCAAATGTGTCTGCAGGGGTGAATGAGTAAAGAGCCTAGCCTGATGTGCCATAAAACATTAAAAGTTTATAGTGTATAACAAAGGTGACAGTGTTTTACCTCAAACAAATCTACAAGTTCTGCATCACTACTACATCCATTACCATGCAAGTTTAAAAAAAACTATTGTCAAAAATGTATGTGCATGGTATTTTCATGTGAACTTGGTGCCATAAAAGTTGAAAAATATTTGTTAAATTTCTAACCTATTGTCATTCTGCTTTTATTTATACCAATAGAGAACATCGCTATAGAAATGTTTTTAAGTTAAGGTGTAAAACTTTACAATATAAATATGATTTATTAAGGTGTGGTGAAAACAACACTTGTTTTTCAAGGTATAGCAATGTCCAGCATTGAAATTATAACATCAAAGAGTTAAATAGAATTCCTGCAGTAAACTTCCTCTAAATAGCATTAAAATAAAGACAAACTGCACTGCAGTTCACTCAAAACAGCAAACAAATGGATAAAGAGAGTCTAAAATGACTTTCCATTCCATGTGAGAGTTGTGAAACATGTCTCTAATAATTTTTCATTTTAGCAATTGTCTGGAGAGCTAATATGAAAAATTCTTGACGAGTTTCATGAATCATATGAAAAATTCTTGACGAGTTTCATGAATCAAACGTGAAATCGAAAATAAATGGAAGATTTTTTTTTTACCACATAACCAAGATGTCTTGTAAAAATTCTTGAAAACAACAGCTCTCAGACTCTTGAAATCTAAAATATTGACATTTTGACCTTAAGCTGATTTCTTTTGTGACATCACAAATCAAACGTAAGTCTGTGACATCATGAAATTGTCTTATCTGTGATGTCACAGTTGAAACAATAGAAAGGTATACCGGGTAGTCAATCACAGCTCACAGGTGTTATTAAGCTGTGTTTCATGACACACCTCATGTACGTAGCAGGTGTACGACATTGACAACAGGTAACACGCCAACTTCAACAGGTACTGAGGTAAATAAGAAACGCTTCACCGAGTCAACGTCAGCCAAAAATGTAAACATGAAGTACTTGTAAACATACTGCTAATATTGCTTATACAATCTGCAGATTATTTTAGTTTCTATAATATAAATCTTTTTTTTTTTCATTTCACTGCAGCTATTATAATGTTATTTCAAAAATGTTATTTTTAAATTTTGTACATGTTATGTTGATATGAATAGTCAATACTGCATAACAGTTAGCTTACAAAGATTAGTTTTTGTACTATTGAACTATGAAACTGACAGGCTAGTTTCCATCACAAATAATTACCGGTAGGTAAAATAATGCATCTTAGTCAAGGTAGAAGGCTGGTTGCTTTGACCCAAAATATCCTCTTATAATTAGTCAATTATATTAAATACTAATCTGTGACAAATAAATGAGCTATACTTCAGTTAGTCACCAATTTGACAAGTCTGCCTTTTTTTTTTAAATATATCTGTTAATTATCACTAAAGTTCTATCAGTTTGTCTGCTTTAAATATATAATGTGAATGTACAAACTCATTTCCAAAAAAATGTGCATCCATTTAATGTAAATATTTTCAACAAAATTGCAACATTTTACATGAAATGATAAATAAAGTGTTGTTCAATGTGTCACACTATGATTGGCATGAGCTCTGAACATGTATTTTTTTTTCACGAAAAAAGCGAAAAATAATTAAAAAAAAATACAACCAGCTTATGACATGACCAATACAGAAGTAACTGTTAAACAATTAAAGCTCCATCTCCATCTTAGTCTAACGATTAAAATACAAATTAATACGTCTGAAAGGAAAATGGCTAAAAACTACGAGGGAAATACACTATGAAAGAGCACTGGTAGAATATAAGCAAAACTATGGTAACCATAACAGGTTATCAAAGTATAACCATGGCAATGTATAGCAGATAAAGTAAAAACCATGGCAACACACAAATTAGGTATAACAAAAAGAAATCAGCTAGTTAATGCTTAAGACAAAGTTGTAAAACCATGTAAAATTGTCAACAGGCCAGTTTTATGTTTCTACGCAAACAACTATGAACGAAGTGTCACGAGTAATTCCCATTGTAGCCAGTCATGCCCACAGACAAGTCAGGAACACTTGCACGTAGACGCTCATTTTGCATCCATGATAACAGGTTTTGGCTAGCACTAATTTGGGAATCTTTTCCTCCGCCAGGCTGAAGTCGGTCCCACGCGGACATCTTCGGTTCACCCCTGGGCTTAGACAGGGTCTTCAGGGCACGGAAATGTTCGTCGTTTGTACTTCCTACGGTGTGTCTCCGCTTCGTCCTCTTGACCTTTCGTGCTGGTTCTGGACTTGATGACCTAGCCTTCAAAGATTTATCATTTCCACCAATGTCAAAAGTACAGGAAAAACCTGTTGGTCTCTCGGCACCAGACATATGACTGTCTTTGACCTGTTTAGACAAAGACACATTCACTTCTGTTTTTTCAGATTTAGAAATTGGCCGCGCATCACGACTACAGTCTACTTTTGCCAAATTTCTGCCCTGTGACAGGCCAGAAGGGGAGTAGTGGCGACCAGACCGGTCAAGCACAGTCACTGGGGAGGGATTGACCACCATGTAGGTGGTTCGTGGCTCAGTGGCCAGACCAGGGTAAGAGGAGGGGGAACCCATATTGCTTGCACCACCCATATTCTCCCGACTGTTGGTTAGAACAACACTGTTTGTTGGGTTACGCTCAAAGCGGTATGCAATACCAATTTTGGCCTCGCTTTTCTGTAAGGGAGATCTGTGGAGGCTGGGATCTCTGTATTGCTTCTCCAGCATGTCATTGCTGCTACAGAGACCAAACTTATTGCACAGCGACAGTGGAAGCTGAGGAGGAAGACGCATATGAGCATTGGGCTCCTTTTCACTTTTTTCGCTTCGCTCACTTTTGTCGCTGGTAACAGAGCCTGAGCCATCACTCTTGTTGAGCCTGCTTGTACTACCATTAAGTTTGTACTTTGGATTTACCAAAACCTTCAGCTTCTGGTCAAACGTAGTTGTCAAGTCACTAAGAAGGTCCGACCCATCCTCCGAATCCGAGGAGTTGTATCCATAGACTTTTTGATCCTGTCTGTCTAACAGGTCAATTAAAGAATCTAGCGAACCTCTCCTCACTGAATTACTACGACTGAGGTTGCCACGGGAACGTCGTATATGTTCACCACTTTCCCGATTGACCCAACGAGGTTTCTCCGACCCTCTTTTGGTTGTGATTCTTGCATATTGCCTTGGCTTTATTTCCTCATCAGTCTCCAACATTGTTTCTAAGGAATTTGTTCGTTTTGTAGGAGGAACTTTAGCACTATTAACACTTTGTATCACAAAATATTTGCCTCCATGTTTAGGGTCCTTAAAAACTTTTTCCCCGTTGGAACTTGAAGGGGACACAGTACTGTTATAGTCGGACGTATTACCATACTTGAGCCATGATGGCCCTCCGTGTATTTCAGCCCCTGATGACACACTTGAGTAATCAGACGTGGCAGAACCTTGTCTCACATGACCGGAGGACGAATATCTATGAAGTTCACTTGCTGAGTGCCACACTGACGGAGAATTGAGTAAATCTTCAACATTCTGACTATCCTCGTATTCTATTTCCTTTTTCGTTCTCTGAATATCTTGTTCCACTTTCTGTCGTTCCAATTTTCTCCTTTCGAAATCTCTCCTCCTTTTTTCCTCCTTTTCCCTCAACGCTCTAGCCTCCTCCTCAATTTTCCGAAGACGATCTATCGTATCACGACTCACACTGAAACCAGAACTGAGACCACCCTGAGAAGATAACTCCATCTCATCATTCTTATCCAGAGAATCTTCCGAGTAATGTCTCGGTTTAATTATCATACTTTGAGATTGTCGCTCTGAATCTATGTATTCCCAATCAGGATCTAAAATCTCCTGGGACTTTGCCATCCGCCGATCGTTGGGATTTTCTGTTGTGCGTACAACCACCTGAATCTGTTGTGGCATAGTTTTGAGAACAGTGGTGAGATTGGGGCTGCTCTGTGTTGTCTCGTTTTGTGTTTTCATGCGGTGTTTAGCCACCTCCTGATCAATGTTGCGCTCCCTGTATGGTGGCGCCGGTGGTTGGCTGGCATCCACCTCGTCTTCTCCCTTCCCACGTTTTTTCGCTGCTTGTACAAATGACGACACAATGTATTTCGGATTGTTGGCATTGTCTGAAATAAAAACAGATGGATTTCTGTCAGTCTCACAAAACAAAGGTTTGGAAAGGATGAATCTGATAGACATTTCTTAATTTCAGGTACCTCCTGTGCCATAACAGTATTGGCATTAGCCTCAGTACCATGAACTTACTAACCAAATTTCACCACAAATATGGTGGTATTCAAAGCTCTTACAATGCAAAGCAATACTCCAGGAACAAAAGATATATAATAATTAAATAAATAACCTCCTTTTCCTTTGAAATAGCCAAAAATCAAATCATGGCCAGAAATGAATATCTTTGACAAAATGTTTTTTTTCAATTGTTTATTTAAGTCACAGGTATATAATTGATAGATATATATCAAATATAGTCAGACTGATTTAAATTGCAATTAAAAGTTAAAAGTAAGTTTAATGATATTCTTAACTTCATTTTCGAACTCGGCCTTTAAGCCTTTGTATATATGTATATACCAAGTTTCACCGAAATTAATTATGATAAGCAAGTTATCTTGCAGAAACTTAAGGATCCCCGTACTGCCACCAAAATCTGTATCTATGCACTTGAAACCAATTTTGCTGACATGACTTTAGTTTTGATAAATAATTTCTAAAAAGCAAACCTTAAATTATCTTGCCGCATATATATGAAAAATAGTTGAGAGGAAATAAACATAAAAATAATCAACAGCAGTGTTGTGGGTGTAAAACGAGCAGCAGGGCAACACTGTCATTTGAACCCTGGACTTCAGGGGCCAGTTTTTCAAAAGGTGATTAGCTTAATCAATAGTTAACAACACTTTTCAACCTTTAATAATTTCGTCAATATACCAGGTATAATCTCACACTTTTGCATATAAATTCACTCTACTTAATATTTAATATCTGGAAAGTTGTAACTAATTCAATGGTTTCGTTTTTAAGATACAAGAAAATTAAAACTTGTGCTAATCACTGATTAAGCTAATCACCTTTTGAACAACTGGGCCCAGATTGTTATACTATCGCTCCAAACGATTGAGCTACCTCATTGACAGAAGTATCCTGGCCCAACTGTTCTACAGTTAATATATCCAAACAGAAGTTAAGGGTGGTTTGCTGTATGTACGAACAACCTACAGTGTAGTTGGGCAGAGATTTGTAAGGGCGGACAGATAGTAGAACAAACCAAGGAATAATGTTGACATTGCAGAGAGGTCCGAACTTACCATCATCGTCACAGGACATCCTTGAGAAGGAGGTGTTAGACGGTCGATTATTTTCCTCATAGTTCTCGTCCACTGGTACATAGCGGTCTTGGTCCCAAGAGCTGAAGAACCATTCATACTGCAAGACAGAATATAACTGCTAGTCTTTGCCTACCATCCATGAATTGTTGAGAAGAATTTTTAAAGTCTATAGTGATAAAATTATACCAAAACAACAATCATGTACCTCTATGAAGAACAGGGTCAATGAAAAACTTGAATTTTTAGAGAATTTAATACAATTTACAAACTGGTGGAGGAAAGCATATGCTTTACCATATTTAGTTGTGAGCTGATATATTGTTATATAGGTGTCAACATCTGAAACCTCCAATGAGGGAGATCTCCCTCATTCCACATTTCCAATGAGGGAGAGAGTGCGTGAAACTTGACTGAAACTGTTTTGCTCAATTCATTTTTCTTTTCCCTTTATATGTATCAAAATAACTCAAAAAAGCATTCATTTGATTCAGACACACCTGTTATGTTAATTACGCACACCCTGTAGTAACTAGGAGATCATTTGACCACAGGATGGAGATTCTGGGTTTGTGCGAATTTGGACTTGAATGAGGGAGTTTCTACAGAGATTGGTAGACTGTGGTCAAAATGAGGGAGTTTCCCTCCTAATGAGGGAGGGTTCACAGCTATGTTTTAGCCAGGTTCACTTGTACACAACTTACATGAGATATGATACTCTCCACAATGCGACACTGGTCCGACATGTCCTTAACAATGCTTGCCATGTCATCGTTGATTTGGCGAATCAGAGTTGGACCAAACATCAGGGCCAAGTTTCGTGTGTCCATCTATAAATAATCAAGATCAGTTTAAAAGCTGTGATTGACTATATTCTAAGTGTTACTTTATGTTAGCAAATTGTGTTTGAAAATCGTAATTAAGCAGAAGGATATGTTCAATACCAACATGTTTTAACATCATGCACCTATGCTTAGATCCGAGCCTCACCTTATTGACTTGATCGTAGGAGGCGACTTTGTTGAGATGTTCGGCCAGGTGTCTAAATGTCTCGAAATGATGTTCCGGAAGGTCATGTAATAACCTCTTAACCTTGAGCATGCGTCGCTCAGGGTCCCCAGTCTGATTGGCGTTGATAAAGCTCTGGTACAGCTCTGTGGAAACAGATACACTTACATTTAGTGAGGCCTTTCTATATTACTACTAAATTACTGCCTATAGCAGCTTCATGTTATGAGACTATAACTGAAGTTGGTTGCAGGGCGTATGAATACATCTGACTTGCACAATGTTAGAATATAGGCCACAATAAAACAATCAGTAAAAGGTCTTACGTCAATTGAATAGCTACTAACATAATGTTATTTGTGTATATTTTGTTAATTGAGAATATTCTATATTTTAAAAACAAATGAATCAATAACGATAGTCTTTTCAATTTTGTATGGGAAATAGAGCGTGACGTCAGCTGTTATCTTTGTGCCCTTCTAGATACAGACAGGACCTGATGGTAATAAGCAGGAAATTTGAAAGTTGTAAAAGAGATATACCTTTTTATCATATCAATACTGTGTTATGCAGTGTCATTAAGCCATCACATAAATTATGTTTAAGTAACGTGTGTAATATCACTCCGGAAATGACGTCACAATCGAATAGGAACAATCAATGTGACATCACGTCATTGTGAAGCTGACACAATTTTCATCGTTTCAGAGGCGACCAAGTGCAAAATATTCATTTCTGATCACAATTATAATGATAATTTGACAAGTGTGTTAAATTATAGTTTATATACAACTTTTATTGCTCCCTTGCTTATATATATCATAGGTTGTTTTTCTACAGTGGAACAGTTAGATATATATGTGTGAATTTACTTAAGTTCATTTCCTTGTTTACGTGTGGTAATATTCTTGTATCTAGGTTTTTCATGTTTATGTTTTTATGCAAATTAGGGGAGAGTTAACCAATCAGCATTAACCCCTAGAGGGTATGTGGTATTGTCAGTGCCCCTCATTATTGATTTCCGGCGGGTGTTGGTGTGTTTGCTTTTCGCGTATTCTTCGACTTTTCAAGTGTTTACTACACTATGGATTTATCTTAAACTACACCACGATTACTCAGTGACAGTCATCGCCATATGATTTAACTTTCGCCAGTTTGTTACGCTGTAAACGTGAATCAGTATGAGGAGAACGTTTGTTTACTTTCTGCATGATTTTTGGACTTGAGGTGTGGCTACGCTACTGTACACACTGGGAGCAAGGCAGCCTACTGATCATTTACTGTTGTACGAATAATACCACCTTACAACTTCGTGTTTAAGGACTTGACGCACTTCCTATACAATTATTGTGAGCAAATACTTCGCCGTGATTCGTCATTACGGTGTGAACTTGACATTGTACGTGCATTCGACCGTGCTAACCTACACCTTAGGCTATATATAACGTTGATATTCAGGCCTATCGACAATAGTTTTAAGACATGGGGTCTAAAAGTAGGAATTCTACAGTTGTTCCGTACGATCCGGTAGCTCGTTTCCAAGAGGCATTATTTACTTATCTGTTGATTATTTTACTGCTTTTGCTTTAATTTTTCTGTCTATTCTTGAAACTACTAGGCTCTTGAATCGCTCAGGAGTTTCGTCTTGCCAGCTCTTAAATCGCTTAAGTCTGGTGGTCAGTTTGCCTCTCTTGAATCGCTCAAGGCAAAATCTCTCTGCTTTTAAATCGCTTAAAAGTTTTCTTTACTACTTATATATATGAGTATTTTATATGCAGCTCTTGAATCGCTCAAGGGTTTGCTCTAGATATCTACATGTATATACTGTCTTGAATCGCTCAAGAACGTTCACTAGATATTTACATTTGGCCTGTCTTGAATCGCTCAAGAGTTGTCTGGCTAGCTACTTTAAATATATTGCTGAGAATATATATTTTTTTTCCTTGTGGCCTCTTTCTTTGCTTAGGAGGCTACCTCGTCAGTACACGTTTGTTTTTGTAGTATTGTATATAGTTAGCTTATAGTGTTGAGTGAGTATACGTAGCCCCTGATACGCCAAAGTATAAGTTTGTATTTTCTTTTTATCTTGCTATCTGCCTCATTTAAATATCTCGAATTGTAATAAACAGGTAAACTGTTGTTTCATCGTTTTTGTTGTGTATAAACAGTTTATTTTGTATTATATGATATAACGAATCAGTCATTCGTTTCTCTTCATATTCAATTTATGAGGCTCGCCTACATGAAAAATCTAAAACTTGTATCATAAATCCAATATGAAGGGAAACTTATGACAGATCCTCTATTTAGCAGTTTTTCATAACGAAAATGTAAATATAAGCGATAAACTGCTAGCGTGCACCATTCAGTTTGTCTGTGACAGTTTGTTTGTGACACATCGGCAGTTAAAACAGTAGGTCTGCCACATATATTTAGTTTATTGCTTAAATATTTACTGGTGATTACTGCAGTACGGCACAGGCAAGATCTTTCCATTTTTTGTCATTACTCCTCAATAACCAAACAGAATACAAATCTATATAATATACATCATTTTTTTAAAAAACAAGGAGTCCCTTAAATGAGGAAGGATAAGACATGTTCCTTTATTAAAAATTGTTTTCAGGTTTAAAAATAAATCTTTGTATGTTAAGTAGACCAGATTTATCTCCCTTGATTGACAATTGTTTCATCAGGCCCGTTTAGTGCATCCGGTTCATTTTTAAATCTAACTTTTTCAGGTATAAATTCAAGTAGATCTGCAAATATTTATGCAGGCCTTGCAAGGCTTTGTCATGGCTCGCCTGAAAGCAGCATCAGATTACTAGGTCCGACTCATTTCATAAACGTTTAACTCTGTTCCAACATGTTCAACTGTTTGGGTCGCGATAAACGAAAGCGGCTCTTGTCTATTTTGTTTCTGGTTAAAGTTCGTGAAGAAAAATACTGAAATAATTCTCTAAAAAAAATGACTGTTAATTAAATTCTAAAAATGACCCATAAATTTAATTTTGTTTGTGAATCACAGTTAGCTACCTACCTGTAGTGATCAGTGGATCAGGCAACTTTCTGAAGAATGCCTTCAGTAGACTGCTGATGACGTTAACATCGCACCACTTCTCATGGTCAACATTCATGTTATCAATGCCCTGGAAATACAAAACACATTATGGATTGTCTGTTTACGTTTATGAGATTTATGTTGTAGAGATAACTTCTGTTCAAGAAAAAGTGCTACAAAACTTAAGTTATAACGATTTTTAACTCAAGACACATATTATAACTTTTTTCCATTTTGTACTTTTATGTACAGAAATAAACACTGCTATCTGCAAATAAAAAGAACAATGACCAAGGCAGAAATAATTATGGGACCTTATTATCAATGAAAATAAGTTGCATTCGCAACATTGATTTAGTCTCTGTAATAAGTTTGTCTGAACACAATTGATGGATATGATTTTGACCAGACTCATAAAATTTGCTACACTGTATACAGGGAAATTTTCTTCTAGCCAAATTTTCCCCTTTGAAGTTAAAATAATTCTACACCGAATACTAAATTCACCCTTTGCATTTAATTACTATATGTATTCTATTATTTACAAATGTTCGCTGTAATGATAAATTTGCCCTCATTACGGAGAATCCAAACAGGCGAAAATTAAACAGCAGCAAATGTTCCCTGTATACAGTATATAAAACATTCTGTATAATGTTCCTTGTATACAGTATATAAAACATTCTATATAATGTTCCATGTAAGCAGTATATAAAACACTCTGTATAATGTTCACTGTATACAGTATATAACACATTCTGTATAATGAATACATTACTATATGTATTCTATTATTTACAAATGTTCGCTGTAATGATAAATTTGCCCTCATTACGGAGAATCAAAACAGGCGAAAATTAAACAGCAGCAAATGTTCCCTGAATACAGTATATAAAACACATTCTGTATACAGGGAACATAATACAGAATGTTTTATATACTGTATGCAGGGAACATTTGCTGCTGTTTAATTTTCGCCTGTTCGGATTCTCCGTAATGAGGGCAAATTTATCATTACAGCGAACATTTGTAAATAATAGAATACATATAGTAATGTATTCATTATACAGATTGTGTTTTATATACTGTATACAGTGAACATTATACAGAGTGTTTTATATAATGTATACAGGGAACATTATAGAGAATGTTTTATATACTGTATCCAGGGAACATTATACAGTGTGTTTTATATACTGTATTCAGGAAACATTATTTAATATTCTTTATATACTGTATACAGTGAACATTATACAGAGGGTTTATATACTGTATACAACGAACATTATACAGAATGCTTTATATACTGTATACAACGAACATTATACAGAATGCTTTATATACTGTATACAGTGAACATTATACAGAGGGTTTATATACTGTATAATGTTCCCTGTATACATTATATAAACACTCTGTATAATGTTCCCTGGATACAGTATATAAAACACTCGGTATAATGTTCCCTGTAAACCGTATATAAAACATTCTATATAATGTTCCATGTAAGCAGTATATAAAACACTCGGTATAATGTTCCCTGTACACAGTATATAAAACACTCGGTATAATGTTCCCTGTACACAGTATATAAAACACTCTGTATACTGTTCCCTGTATACAGTAGATAAATACTCTGTATAATTTTCCCTGTATACAGTATATAACACATTCTGTATAATGTTACCTGTATACAGTATATAACACATTCTGTATAATGTTCCCTGGATACAGTATATAAAACATTCTATATAATGTTCCATGTAAGCAGTATATAAAACACTCTGTATAATGTTCACTGTATACAGTATATAAAGCATTCTGTATAATGTTCCCTGTACACAGTATATAAAACACTCTGTATAATGTTCCCTGTATACAGTATATAAAACACATTCTGTATAATGAATACAACCTTGTTGAGTTCATCCTGCATGTGATTGACTGCGGCTGAGTTACCGGGAACTCTGTACACACCGGTCGACTCCAGACCTCGTGCCTCCACAATTTTAGTGCACAGGTCAACAATCAGTGGCACAAACTGCAAAAGTAAACATTATATATCCTTAATACAAAGTGCATTCATCTTCTTACGACAAAGTACACATTCTTATTACAAAGTACACATTCTTATTACAAAATACACATTCTTTTTACAAAATACACATATTTCAATCAAAAAGGTATTGCATTCTAATTACAAAGTACACATATTCTTAATACAAAGTGCACACATTTCAATCATAAATTAAGTACACATGTTCTTATCACAAAGCACACATGTTCTTATTACAAAGTACACACATCTTATTACAATGTTCCTAAAATGGATTATTTATGTTTCTGTGTCACAGTACTCGCATGTCTAACTAAGAACAGACAACTATTCTTAAAACTGATGACTTCCGAGGTAGTAGATATATCTGAGTTAAAATACTCAGCAATAAAGCTGCCAGAGGTCAGAACAACCTAAGATAATATCAGTTTGATCTTATTCTGAAAGTACAAATCATTGCCACTTTAAACAATCAGACTTATCTCAGTGCTTATATCCTTATTACAAATGTAAAATTACGTGTAAATTGTCTATGTAATACTTACATCATTGTTAGGTGACGGTATACAACATGATAGAGGTACCCCAAACATCCCGGAGTTCTCTTGTTCTTCCGAATGTCCTGAACCTAATACACCGTGTTTACGGAAACTCTTCAGCTTCCCTTTGAGTGTCTTAGCTTTGGTGTTATCATCTGGAACAACAAGTTGGATGTTGCGACAGATTCTATTGACAGCAGATAATACAACAGAGCTCCCAAATTTACAAGATTTAGCTTGGACACCAATTACCACTTTACCATAGTGAACATTATCACCAAAAACTGTTTAATATCCCAGGAAATCCATCAAAAGTCTTTTTATTTGGAAAGAATTCTTTTTTATAACATCTGAAGATAACAATTCTTAAATGCCATACGATGCCTTCTGGCCCTGTTTATGTTATACTCAAAAATCTACCACCCAGAAACCCTTCACCCAGGCATTAAACCCTTCACCCAGGCATTAAACCCTGAAACTCAGTTTCAATTTGCCATCCCCCCTCATTTTAAAGACACATATTGGATACCTACCTTTGCTTTCTGCCTTCTTGCGCTTCATACTGGGGGAGTGTGGTATCTTGGGTTTGAGGGCGAGACTTTGTAGCTTTTTGATGGCCTTGGGTGGGGCCTGCGGCGAAGTCTTGTTGGTCGAAACGCTGGTTGGGGGCTGGGCTGATTCATGCTGGTTGGTCTTTCTAATAATCAGGTCTTTACTCGCTAAACCCCTCTCCTGTAAACAACAACACCGGTCAACTGGTCAATTACCGCATGTCCAGTCATTGCAGCTTCTAACACAGAAAGCTGACTATCCCAGCATCAGTGAAAACTTGACAACTCATTATTATTATTTATTTTAATTCTATTTTCTTGACAATAAAATTCAGTTGCAATTTACATAATTTACAAATTAAAGATTTGTAAGCCTGGAAATTTGATTTCTAATTCAACTTTTGTAGTAATGGTGCTAGTTGATCTTCAAAATTTACATTTGTAAATAGAGTGGTGTAGTTTTTAATCATACATTAAACTTTGATTTTTCATTCAGTTATTATCTATATCTTATCAGTAATATAAATAACATATAATTATCACTAGTCAAAACATTTCAATAATTATTTACAAACAATAAGTCAGGTACAAAATGGTATTTTCTACTGTTTACCCGTCGTCGGTGAGAAATGCACAACCGAAACAAAAAGATTTGTCCTCTCCTGGACAAACACTGTTTCAAAATGTTGTTAAGAAAATACTTTCAGAATAACATACTAAAACTAGCACTACAAGCAAGCAAGATGATTTTTGTTTCCAAAAAAAAAAGAAAAGAAATGAAAGCAAAGCAATCCAAACCAAACCAAACCAAATCTGTTTTACAAAATACCAGTAAGGACAACTGGGAGATATTAGAAGATGGTTTGTGGACAACTGGGAGATATGAGAAGATGGTTTGTAAGTGTTTCTCTTATTTACTGAACAGATTTTGCGAGAAAAGCGATTTTTTCCCCAGTTTTAAGAAAAGTCAACTTGAAGTTAGCATATTGTCTCGTAACACTGTCATATAGACAAAAACAGTTCTACAGAATAAAGAATATATGTATACTCTTGAGGTGTATAGTCCTCGGGGAAAAAGTATCTGGAGTTTTCCCAACTGACTTATGCAATGACCTGGGTCTAAGAAGAGATAGCCTGTTGGACTGTGCAAGAAGCAGAAAAACAAAGTCAACTGATTAACGAGAAAGAGATGTTGACATGTCCCGAAAAGCGAAAAAAGCAGAACGGGTTGTGCATTAAGCCAAAACAAGAATCCAGAGAAAACACTGTACCCTGACTTTATATCTTGTGCCCCTTACATCCGAGTCTGGGTCATTGTTCTCCTGAATGGCGCGTATCCATGACAACATGGCCTCGTGCTCCTCTGCTTGGAACAAGTACTCCGAGCCATTGTATGTCTTCAGACGAAACACGTTTTTCTTTTTTGTGTAGTCATAGGCGATGTCGACAATGGCAGACTTGATTGAGATCGGCTGGTCCTCAAAGGAGAAAGGGTGTACCTGGAGACAAAATAAAAGTAATTAATAAGACTTTGGCAGATCTAGTACAGTACATTTCACTTGATGTCACTTTTCGGTTATTATCATGTTTTCTTGATACTAACGTCCTTTATAGGGTTGCACTGTCAAAAAAACATTTCAAAACATTGTTTCAGTTTTAAAAATCTACTTTATATGTTTTATATGTTTATTAATTTCATTATCCAATATTACAAAGATGGACAAGTAGAATTACAGTAAAATCACCCATTTTTCGTGGGTTTTTTAAATTTCGTTGATTTCTTTGGTAATCTTCATCCACAAGTTCATAGGTCCATAAAGTAATTTACAAGTTTGATATAAAGCAATTCTCAGTTTTAGTGGGTACTCGTAATCCACAAATTCATGTACCAATGAAATGGTGTTTTGTCCGGGCCCTACCAAAATATCTTATTTAACAATATTGTGTCTTTGCCAATTGAGAATTGAATTGAAAAGCAAACTACAAAATTAAAAGTAGCAGATTAATATCAAATTATCATACAAGCAGATACCATTTTTAAAACTGGCTAGGAATGAATTCACCTTAACGGTAGTAAACTTACCACTCCCAATTGTTCTTTCCTCTCCTTGTGTAAGTACAGAGCATGACCTCTAAGCTCCACCCAAACAGGCTTCCACGACCTATCACTGCTCCTCTGTAACAATCACAGACATCTACATTAAATTAGGTTTACATTTCCACTGCAAGTTCCTCTATATGCATTACCATGAGAAATTGCATTCATAGAGCTATGAAAGCCATTAGATCAATGTCATTTTGAAGCTTCTCCTGTTGCCTCAATTTACATGAGAATCAAACGTTTTGGTGACGTTAGACTGTTACTGGATTCTTGTTTGCGTTGATGACAAAGACATTTCAAAATATTGAAATTTAATGAAATATCTAAAAGAAGTACATATACAGTGTATGTGATAACTAACTATTCAGAATGTAAGTATAAGTATTAATGTTCATGCTGGTATGAATGCAAATCAGTTACATACATATTTACATGGAATATGTATGTAACCAGTTTGCGTTCACACTGGCATGAAATTGAAAAATATATCATCCAATCGTTATGTGTTTGTAGCCAATAATACACAGTGTAACCCAGTTGTAATACCCCTCATTTCATTGCCTACTTTGTGTAATACCCCTCATTTTATTGGCTACTTTGTGTAATACCCTTATTTCATTGGCTACTTTGTGTAATACCCCTCTTTTTATTGGCTACTTTGTGTAATACCCTTATTTCATTGGCTAATTTGTGTAATACCCCTCATTTCATTAGCTACTTTTTGTAATACCCTTATTTCATTGGCTACTTTGTGTAATACCCTTATTTCATTGGCTACTTTGTGTAATACCCCTCATTTCATTGCCTACTTTGTGTAATACCCCTCTTTTTATTGGATACTTTGTGTAATACCCTCATTTCATTGGCTACTTTGTGTAATACCCTCATTTCATTGCCTACTTTGTGTAATACCCTTATTTCATTGGATACTTTGTGTAATACCCCTCTTTTTATTGGCTACTTTGTGGAATACCCTTATTTCATTGGATACTTTGTGTAATACTCTCATTTCCTTGGCTACTTTGTGTAATAACCCTCTTTTTATTGGATTCTTTGTGTAATCCCCTCATTTCATTGCCTACTTTGTGTAATTCCCTCATTTCATTGGCTACTTTGTGGAATACCCCTCTTTTTATCGGATAATTTGTGTAATACCCTCGTTTCATTGGCTACTTTGTGTAATCCCCTCATTTCATTGGCTACTTTGTGGAATACCCCTCTTTTTTTTGGCTACTTTGTGTAATATCCTCATTTCATTGGCTACCTTGTGTAATACCCTCCTTTCATTGGCTACTTTGTGTAATTCCCCTCTTTTTATTGGATTCTTTGTGTAATCCCCTCATTTCATTGGCTACTTTGTGGAATACCCCTCTTTTTCTTGGCTACTTTGTGTAATTCCCTTATTTCATTGGTTACTTTGTGTAATACCACTCTTTTTATTGGATACTTTGTGTAATACCCCTCTTTTTATTGGATGCTTTGTGTAATACTCTCATTTCATTGGCTACTTTGTGTAATACCCTCATTTCATTGGCTACTTTGTGTAATACCCCTCTTTTTATTGGAAGCTTTGTGTAATACTCTCATTTCATTGGCTACTTTGTGTAATACCCCTCTTTTTATTTGATACTTTGTGTAATACCCCTCTTTTTATTGGCTACTTTGTGTAATCCCCCTCTTTTTATTGGATACTTTGTGTAATACCACTCTTTTTATTGGATACTTTGTGTAATACCCTTATTTCATTGGATACTTTGTGTAATTCCCCTCTGTTTATTGGATACTTTGTGTAATACCCCGCTTTTTATTGGATACTTTGTGTAATACCCCTTTTTTTATTGGCTACTTTGTGTAATACCCCTCTTTTTATTTGATACTTTGTGTAATACCCTTATTTCATTGGATACTTTGTGTAATAACCCTCTGTTTATTGGATACTTTGTGTAATACCCCTCTTTTTATTGGCTACTTTGTGTAATACCCCTCTTTTTATTTGATACTTTGTGTAATACCCCTCTTTTTATTGGCTACTTTGTGGAATACCCCTCTTTTTATTGGATACTTTGTGTATTACCCCTCTTTTTATTGGATACTTTGTGTAATTCCCCTCTTTTTATTGGATACTTTGTGTAATACCTCTCTTTTTATTGGATACTTTGTGTAATACCCCTCATTTCATTGGCTACTTTGTGTAATACCCCTCTTTTTATTTGATACTTTGTGTAATACCCCTCTTTTTATTGGCTACTTTGTGTAATACCCCTCTTTTTATTTGATACTTTGTGTAATACCCCTCTTTTTATTGGCTACTTTGTGGAATACCCCTCTTTTTATTGGATACTTTGTGTAATTCCCCTCTTTTTATTGGATACTTTGTGTAATACCTCTCTTTTTATTGGATACTTTGTGTAATACCCTCATTTCATTGGCTACTTTGTGTAATACCCCTCTTTTTATTGGATACTTTGTGTAATACCCTTATTTCATTGGATACTTTGTGTAATACCCCTCTGTTTATTGGATACTTTGTGTAATACCCCTCTTTTTATTGGATACTTTGCTTGCCACCAATGTCTTTCAATGCATCATTTTTCCTTTCTTTACAACTCCTCCATACATTTCCTTCCTTTATAATGCCAAAATTTTCTTGACAAATGGTGTCAATATAACAAGGTTTTACTGTATTTGACAGGGGAAAACAAAGATTGCTAGAATACATACCAAACAAACAGCAAGACTTAAGAAAATAACAATGCTTTAGATTTGTAAATATTTTCTGAGCAATTAACATTATATGACAGGGCATTCACCAAGGCAGCCGGGGTTTCATTTCCCAATTGGTCTGAAAAGGTATGGGATGATCGCCTGCCCGCATGCCAACATCAGGGTCAACAAGAGTGATAAATATAAGTTGTTAAAACTTGTATCATAATTATTTTAAAATCAATAAAGTTTTTAATTTATTATACGTCTTGATATGAAGATGATATACAAGGTTTAACATTACACATTAGAAAGCTTTTGTTATAGACCCAGTACTGTACCTTTCCATCAGTGATGTCAGTTTTGAGGTGGAGTGTGCCCTCTTTCGCCACTTCCTGTATCGGACTGGCAGGGTCCTGTCTCTTCTCTGTGGCCTCCATGATCCGTGGTGTCTACAATTGCCCAAATCAACACACTCTACACATTCGTTTTCAGAAATACACTTATTATGAATCTCTTTCACCTTTCATTTTCAGCCAAATTCTAATCTAATTTTGGCTTTTCTGAGGTGCCAAAATAAGGTTGTGCCAAATAATGGAATTCTATCAACAAAGCAAGATATCTGTCTAAATGTAGTACCATTGAAAACCAGATGAATATTGTGTTCTCCTATAATTACTGTTGGTTTATATTTAAGAAATTTCCATTAGGTCAATTATTTGGATAATTTTAGTGTGAAACAATATTTCCTAGTGTAACATATAACACGATCTGTATGATATGAAATACAATACTGTGAAATCACTTATTTTTCGTGGGATAAAAGTTTTGTTGATTTTGTGGGTAATCATAACAAAATCATAGGTCCACAAAATTATTATAAGTTTGACATAAAGCTATTCCCCCTTTGTGTGGATACTTGTATTCAACAAATTAACTCATTTACCCCTGAAGACACATTTAAACACTTCCAATTCAAAGGTTGGAATAGTTCATTATGAAATTTCAGGGGTGAATGAGTAAATGTACCCATGACATGGTGTTTTTTGAGGGAAACCACAAAATTTGGGCCCCACAAAAATATCTGATTTTACAGTATATAAAGCGTGTAATGATCAGTAATTATGATTCATATCCATTTTTCTGCATTTCCTGTAATAATCCCAGGAGGTCAACATATAATCCCTGACTAAAAGTAGGGGGTGGACTTATTACAGGACAATGCAATGGCACACATTAATATATCTACCGAATCTTACAGATATGGGTGGGCTTATTACAGGACAATGCAATAGCACACATTAATATATCTACCGAATCTTACAGATATGGGTGGGCCTATTACAGGACAATGCAATAGCACACATTAATATATCTACCGAATCTTACAGATATGGGTGGACTTATTACAGGACAATGCAATAGCACACATTAACATATCTACCGAATCTTACAGATATGGGTGGGCTTATTACAGGACAATGCAATAGCACACATTAACATATCTACCAAATCTTACAGATATGGGTGGGCCTATTACAGGACAATGCAATAGCACACATTAATATATCTACCAAATCTTACAGATATGGGTGGGCTTATTACAGGATAATGCAATAGCACACATTAATATATCTACCGAATCTTACAGATATGGGTGGGCTTATTACAGGACAATGCAATAGCACACATTAATATATCTACCGAATCTTACAGATATGGGTGGACTTATTACAGGACAATGCAATAGCATTCGTTAACATATCTACCGAATCTTACAGATATGGGTGGGCTTATTACCAGGCATGGGCTTATTGCTGGATAAGAACTGATAATTTCAAGTAAATCTTCTAAATGAAGTTCATAAATTATATATCATAATTAAGAATCAACTTTGAGAATAGATCGTTATCAATCAACCCTCCTAGGATGTCCTCACTGCACTCAAATTTATAATCATAATTACCCTTTCTCCAAAGAAAGCCTTCAACTTCTTCATACTGTGATGTTTGTTTGGTGTACTGAAAGAAAATTAAAATTATGTCTTTAGTGTTTAAATTCAAGAAAGTTGAAATTTTGTATTTAAAACATTCTGCTTTTATCAGATGTTGATGTTAGTCATTTGTCAGAGAAAACATGATATACAGAGAAATTTGACATTAAGATAATGTGCTGTTTTGATTGTCAGAGAAAACATGATATTAAGAGAAATTTTATAATAAAAGATGAAGCGCTGTTCTGACATTTTCAAATGTCATTTGCTCCAAGAGACTGTCAAAATTAACAATATCACCCTATCGTTACTTTTTACATATTGTAACTACATATACATACATATATATTTTCTTCAAAATATTTGTTCAAAAAATGTTGTGAACAATACACACTGTAGTGTCAGCTCTGCTGATTGGTTGGGAGATTGGGATTTGTCCAATGACAGTTTGTGACTGTCTCTGTCCTTGGCTGTCGCCATGAGATACGATGTCCTCCTCTGCAATTTGATTGCATCCTCCTCTGGTGTGGCTAAAATTACAAACAAAAACATCAATATTGATTCCATTGAACATACATTTTTTAACTAATTATAAATTATTTCTAAATTTCAATATTGCCTACAAAACATATGCATACACATCCTTGTTTGAATATGAGGAAAACAATTGGGGCGACAATTTCCAGTACAGTTTGAAGAAAAACTTTTGAGAAGTCTTCATGATTCTTTTCATTCTCAATTTCTTTTTTTATTATCATAACTTTTTAAATACACATATATAAGCGTCTTTCACATGGTTCTTAGTTCTTGGATAAAAATAAGTATTGAAACTAAACGGATGTCTTGTATTTTTATTGTGTTTGTATTAATTGTTATAATGTTAGACTTACACTCAGATTTCTTCCTGAGCATTACAGAAGGAGTGGAGTCTCTGATAGGGGTGCTAGTCAGAGCCAGGCCCGCATCGGAGCAGGGAGGAGGCAACACCACTGGAAACAAGACACATCACCAAGTTAATGTTAGTGTTAAAGTGTTATACCCCTCAAGTCAAACCACCAGTAAAGGGGAATAACTCTCGAGTCAAACTACAAGTTAAGGGGGGATAACCCTCAAGTAAAAACACCAGTAAAGGGGAATAACTCTCTAGTCAAACCACAAGTTAAGGGGGAATAACCCTCAAGTAAAACCACCAGTAAAGGGGAATGACCCTTAAGTTAATCCAACAATAAACGTGAACAACCCTCAATCGAACCAACAGTAAACGGGAATCATACTCAATCGAACCAATATTAAAGGGGAATAACTCTAAGGTAAAAGCACCAGTAAAGGGAAATAACCCTCAAGTCAAACCACCAATAAAGGGGTATAACTCTCATGTCAAACCACATTTCACTACTAGGACTAAACTATAAAATGACTGTCAATCAGTCTGAACAATTTTTATTCTCTAGAGCTTTTGAGAGGAATTAGTATTTAGATATATAGATCAGTAGATAACTAGAATAGAAATGTTTTATTTATGTTTTAAATCAAATCTAACTTATTCCAGATTCAAAGTGAAAACCTTTATGTGACATTTAACCCATCACTTAAGTTCTATATCCTGGTCAATGTCTGTATACATCACTTAAGTTCTATATCCTGGTCAATGTCTGTATACAGTGTGCATGTTTATGGCTACCCAGGTGTAGACTGCACTTAAAAACCATGTTGTTATGGATCAACTGCCTTTTATATATTATTGGTGATTTTTGTTGTGTTGAGTTGGCTCCCTTAGATATTCTAGCAGCCTTTTTTGCACATATTACTTAGAATTACTTAAGTGTTACCGAGACATAATGATATTCCTGTCTACCTTCTAAATGTTTTTAACCCTTTCATCCCTAAGTTACTTGAGTAGACTTTACCATACATTCATCTGGATGAGTCCATGATGGTTTACAGTGGTAAAGGATTAATAAAACTAGTCCGACCTGACAAAAAGATATTACACAGATTTCCTAGTATAGAACTCTTTTGAAAGCAAGGTTTATAATTATGTCAAAGTATTTGTATCATATTGCCTTAATCATCATTGAAACATATAATATATATACTGGATGCTATAAATTACCTGAGGATAGGGAGGTATAGGGCATCATACCAGCATTGCTGGAGCTGGAGATTGAGGTATGTGATCCCATCCAAGGACTCGGACTGACTGGTGGGGAGTCTGGACTGGGCGGCTCAGGGACAGACTGACCATCTGTAAGGTCAAATTAACGTATTTTCAGTAACAGAAAGGCGTTACTGATACAAGAGACATATAATTTGAAAAGGCTCTTATACATAAATATACAGTGGACTATGTCTAAATTGAACACCACTGGAGCCATATTATGTTGATAGTTGCCAAGAATTACCTTACGGCTAGTAATTAATTAGTACAGTGTGAACTCAATGCTATATATAGAATTGACAGCTAACATTACAAGAGCTGTTTATACCAGGGCCTGTATTCATGAAACTGTTCTCATGCTCGAACTCAGATTCTGTGCTCAAGCCCAATTTCTTGTTCCAGTGATAACTTTACAAAAAATCACATTTTGTCCTTGATTTGGAAGAATTGTGGAGAGACTTCAAGCAGAAATTTATTTAAAATATTTTCACTTGTCATTTTTTACTGTGTTACATGATCTAAGCAAGCTACAAGGAAGCTGGTTTGAGCACAGAAACCATGCTTGAGCATGTGAATGGATTCATGAAAACAGGCCCTGGTTCCTGGTTCATATACTTACATCTCGGAGGCTGGTTGATAGCAGCCAGGAATGACGGTTGCCTAACAGGTTTGTTTCCCCGATCCTCTTCATCAGACATCCCATCTACATCGTCCTCCTGCATGTGTAGAGAAGCCTGTGATGTTGTCATTTCCATCGGCTGGGCATTTTGCATTGGCGAGTCTTGGTATATTGGCATTGGCATGATTTCCACCAGGGGGGAGGGAGAGGAATGAGGTGTACCCTGGGATACATAGATACGAATTGGGGCCGTCTGTTGCTGTTGAGGGGTTTGGGGCTGTGGTGTGCTACGCTCCGAGGAGTGGGAATGTGACGTGTGACCGGAAGAAGGTTCCGGAGACGAGTATCTCTCAGTGGATGACATTCTTCGCACACATATTCCCTCTTTTTCAAAGTTTTGTAAACGGTTTTGAACTGTTGTAAACTTCCCAGATGTTATTTTCTTAATTTCCGTTTTATACCTGTTTGAGTTCTGTCCCTGGCTGTTGTCATTCTGTCCGCTCTCAAACTGTTGTTTTCTGTAGGAAACCATTGGTGGTCTTTCCCTGTTGTCTTTTTGTTTAATTTCAATTTGAGCACCATGAGGAGATTTGGTCAGAGCAAACGTGGAGCCGTACTGATTCGACATCTGAACTGTAGCACCACCGGACACTTGACCATTAGACTGACCATTCCCTCCAGTTTCAATGGTCTTATTGCCGATTTTCACAATAAAGGTTCTAGCACCACCGTTTTGATTCTGCTGCTCATATGCAGGTGAGCTATAATTAGTTCGTAGACTTCGCTCCGTAATGTAGTGACCGGAGCGAGAGTCGAGACCGTCCACACTTGTGGACAGTTTTGGACTGACCGACATTGAAGATGTCTGTGACACAACGGGAACATAATGTCTTGTTAGGTGATGTTCACCTTTCTTATCACCTGCCATGTTGGTTTGGGATGTATACGAGTGAGGTATTGCTATGTTCTGATTGGCTAATGCTGATGAGGAATCTGGGTAGCTGTGACGTGAAGATGACGATGACATAGATGACGCGTATGCAGATGAACTTCCAACATTATATGAATCTTGTGATGGATTTACTCCTTCTCTTGCTGAAGAGCGTTGTTCAAGGGGAATAACTCTGCCCTGTGGTTTGACAGTCACTGACCGCGTGATGTTTTCTAGAGAATCGTTTGACTGCAATATATTGTCTGCTGACCGTCTGTAATGTGAAGAAGAGCTTGGAACACCTTCCGATGATTTTACAGTAATAGGTTCCTTTTTGGGTGCAGGATAGTAAAGTCCTAATGTGTATGTCTTTGAGGGCGCCTGCACGTTCTCCTTGGCGCGGGACTCAAACTGTCTGCGTCTGTCATTAAATACGACCTTGTGAAGGTCACTCCCACTAGCATTGTTCTTAAGTTGTGGTTCCCTGTACACACTCAATCCCGATGTGTAGGATGTTGAAGATTTCATTTTTCTTGTTTTTTCAGATGATCCCAGATATCTATAATTTAACTCATCTGAATCACCGTACTCATCCAGTGATGATGCTGAAAACCTTCGTTCTGGTCCTCGATATCTCCCTTTCTCCCCAGAGGATGCGACCCCCTGAGAGGATTGGGAAGGTAAAGGGTAGACCTGCTGACCTTTGACCTTTACGCTGTTACTATTACTGCCACTTCCACTACGACTGTGGTATAAGGGCTCCTGGAGAGAATTTCTGTTTGTATTTTGGTAAGCCTGAAAAACCAAATAAAAATACTTATCAGAAAAAAAAGACAATTTACTTAGCAAACATTATAAATAAAAACAAGTTAATCATTAAGGAATGACCATATACAAATGTACAAACATCACTTGTACCCAATTGAAAAGTGCACATTAATCATCCGACATACATGGTATCGACATAGGGAGAAAATTAGATCTTAGTCATTCTTCATAATGTCATTTAAATGATGCACAAAGACTTTTCAACACAAATCTCACTGTGAATAATAAATTCAATTTTTACACAGAAGCGATAGAACACATCAATTTATATGCATGATGTCATCAGTTTTGAGGTTATCACATATAGCCAAAAAACTAACAATACTTCTTAAAGGCGAATTCTCAAATTTAAAATATAAAATATTGAAAATATACAAATGATAGCCAAATTCTTACTGAGTTGTGTCCCTTAGACCAAACAAAATAATGTCCAACATTTTTTCAAACTCAGAAAATGAATCAACATCAAAGTCTACTATGCTTATAATACCATAAGCAATAAATGTATTACCTCATTACCAGTGCTGAGTAATAAACCTTTTAGGAGACGAATGATCTACATAAAGTTTATCAAATACATGACAAAGAGGTGTCTCACTGTCAATCAATCTATCGCACAATGCTATCTCAACATCTAAATTCAGTTTTCATCGCCACTTTTAAAACACTTTGATGAAATTAAAATTGACGTTATGAATATTCAATTATTTAAATTCTATAAATGTGTCAAAATTAAAACAGAATTGACAGCCACAATGTTTGATATAGAATAGAGATCCATTGTTGAACATAACCTGACTTTAAAACCTGGAAGGGCACACAGCATGCTGTCAATCTCTCGACATTACAATTCCCCACATGTCATCTCCTAGTTTGTCCCAGACTCTGATACAATAGGTCGTCCTGACTCAATACATGACTCGCATCTTTATTTACATACCATAAACCTTCAAACCCCCAACAGTGTGTAAGTGCGAGTGACGTGAAATTCCACCTCGGTGACCTATGCATAATTTATTATATATATAGCCTAGCTTCCACTCACAGTCTTTGATCAAATGTTAACCTTGTCAATGGATTGCATGGCATATATTTGTAAAGCATGGGCATTTGTTTAAAATACAGGATATACATTGATTCTTAGGGTACATATGCAAATTATATGGTGGTTTTAGCATATCTTAATCTGTATTTAGAGTATTGAAATTATAATTTGTGAATGGGTTAAAGAACAGGTTTTACCACAACCATTATTTCTCTCTGGTCACCAAATAATTGCTACTGATTCCAGTTTTTTATTTTATATTTAGAATACTGAAATTATAATTTACAAACTGATTTTAATTTTCACTTCAAGATAATTTTACCATAGATGTCATTCTATCTTGATACCAAATGACTGTTAAGTACTTTATACTGAGGATTTTCACCCCATTGAAATTTTCGCTTTTGCCTTCCATAATGAGGGGGAATTTATTATTACAGCGAACATTCTTAAACAATGTAATACACATACATAATAAACATGAAGTATTTAAATGTAAGGGGCAAAATCAACACTGTGCGATATTGATTATATCGGCAAATGGTAGAAGTTTGCCAGGGTATAAGTTTGCCTTAATTTGCCTGGGTATAAGTTTGCCTGGGTGAAAGTTTGCCTTAGTTTGCCTGGGTATAAGTTTGTCTGGGTGAAAGCTTGCCTTAGTTTGCCTGGGTATAAGTTTGCCTGGGTATAAGTTTGCCTGGGTGAAAGTTTGCCTTAGTTTGCCTGGGTATAAGTTTGCCTGGGTGAAAGTTTGCCTTAGTTTGCTTGGGTATAAGTTTTCCTCAGTTTGCCTGGGTGAAAGTTTGCCTTAGTCTGCCTGAGTGAAAGTTTGCCTAGTTTGCCTGGGTGAAAGTTTGCCTTAGTTTGCCTGCATGGGTGAAAGTTTGCCTTAGTTTGCCTGGGTATGAGTTTGCCTGGGTGAAAGTTTGCCTTAGTTTGCCTGGGTATAAGTTTTCCTTAGTTTGTCTGGGTGAAAGTTTGTCTTGCCAAAACTTTCCCTGTATATAGTATAAATTTAAGGACAGATAATACTATATTCTGAGACAGGCACCTTCCTTTATATTGTGTAATTGTGATCAAGGCAGTATTTAAGTACAGTCCTTTCATATATGTTATACATGCTATAACCTAACACTGAACAAAAAATGTAATCTTTTAAACAAATCAATTCTTGGACAGGAAACTACAGAACTATTTTTGTCATCTATCGGATCACGAACACAGGTGATGAAGTTTAGGATGGGTTGAATAACATTTCAAACATTTAAACATAAAAGTGGTTTTGTGAGTGAGGTCATAAACTTCATAATTCAATAGACAATGCTTAGGCGTCCTTATAGATATTGTGAACTTGAGCTGTGATAGAAAAGGTTTTGGATACAAAGTTCCATTTGAAGGTGTATAGTGTTACCCATTAATTACAGTACAGAGAAAACAGTCTGCCTCGGTGTTTATCTGTCTACAAGGACATTGGACCTGACTGTGCAGTAAACAGTCTGCACATTCCTGTGCACCTAGCTAGCAATAACCTTCCTGTATGATAACATATACAGGTAAGGACAGCTAGGTATATCTACCCTGCAAAACAGCCCATTACAGGTAAGGACAGCTAAGTATATCTACCCTGCAAAACAGCCCATTACAGATAAGGACAGCTAGGTATATCTACCCTGCAAAACAGCCCATTACAGGTAAGGACAGCTAGGTATATCTACCCAGCAAAACAGCCCATTACAGGTAAGGACAGTAAGGTATATCTACCCTGCAAAACAGCCCATTACAGGTAACTGACATGTAGTCCCATATACCATCTCACAGGCCTTAACCCTTTCACCACTGTAGACCATAATGGACTCATCCGAATAAATGTATGGTAGAGTCTACTAAAATTACCCAGGGGTGAAAGGGTTAAGGTAACACTACTATGCATACTGGTGATGGAACATTATAAAGCTAATCAAGAAAAACAATTACAGGATAAAGTAAATTTCACATCTTTTAATCAAATTCTTTTATTTCCATTTGTAAAAAATATCATTATTTTTCAATTTCCCCCTATCATTCTTTGTTCAGCAATCTGTTTTGAAGGGACAATTGAGTCGACCATAATCTGTGACCAAAATCTCAGAAAAAATTACTCCAGAAATTTCATATATTTATAACTACATTTTGCTGTTGATGGTTTTTAAGGAAAATTTCAAAAACAAAGAAATCAGAAAAAATGACCTGGGAAACTAAAAACCCTATGAAACTACCGTAGTTGCCATAAAAAGCGGCCAGGGCACTAACATTTAAATAACAAAATGTAAGCTACATACCTATAATTAACTCTACTGATTTTGGTGGTAGTAATAATTACTGCTTGTGACTAAATTCTGACTAAAATCTATCTATTTATGCAAAAAACAAATGTCATTTACTGGAGCGCTGGTCAGGATCGAGGGTGTGGGTCAGTTTGTGGCATTTATATAATTTCAATATTGGTGCCGAAAAAGGGATATGAGCACTTTAAGGGCACAGGACACTATTTACAACGAATACAGCAGTTTTAATCTACTAAAATGAAATAGTGATTATGACCATACCTCAAAAACAGAGACAATCTTGATATTGCACAGTTAATTTTTTCAAAATCTTTTCCACCAAAATCTATATTAGATTTAGTCAAATCTGAGCGCTATTACCCACCATTTGAAGAACATCCTCGTCTCTTGGCAACACATCCAATTTGAGTAGGGGCTCGTCGGAGGTTTGTATCAGCGAGATGACCTGTGGGTAAGACTGGCCGATGATAGGTATGTTGTTGATAGACAGGATACGATCTCCTTCGTTAAGACCGGCGTTTTGGGCAACACTGTCTTCTTTTACATGCTTAACGAATATTGTTTCCATGGGCTCCAGTCTGCGCAGCTTGGGCCGCTTACAGGAGATTCCATGATGGTATTCTTGGGAGTCATCGCTAGACTGGGGAAGAGAAGAAAAATATTGCTAAGTTTTAGTACATCTATATCAACATGTCACATTAATTTTCCAAATACACGTGGGTAATATCATACCTCATCTTTCTAACAGTGCGTCTGATTGGTTGACACTGGTCACATGACCGGCAATAAAAGATCATGTCACCCTCATGCTCAAGTTTCCCACCATCATATTTCCCTTATTCAGAGCCTCTTTAGAAAAATTGGCAAGAGCTGGAAGGAGACGACAACAATGATACTGGTCACATGACGGGGAAATAAAAGATCATGTCGCCCTTTTGCTCTCAAGTTTCCCTGACAATTTTACAATTATTTAGGAACTCTCTAGAAAAATTGGCAAAAGCCACCACAACCTAGTTCCCAAAAACGGAAGCAAACGACAACAATGGCGCATCAACCTGATAATCTCTTCTATTGTGTTAATGTATTCGATTTATTTATTTCATTTTACTCAAATATGATCTTATTTGACCATGTTACTCTGGTTAGATACTAGCTCTATCCTATGGACTTGGATAAAGACAGAATTTCTGTTTAGCTCATATGCGATAGAGCATCAGTGACTTATTTAAACCAAATCAGGTCCTGGATTTGATCACAAGTTGGGGCTTCGAAAAATAATTACCTCCGTTATCAACATAAAGCATACATTTTGAAAATAGAAAATTTAAGATAAACACATAAAATAAACAAAATCACTGTTAAGGCAGGGTTGATAAGCTGACATCAGCCACTGATAACTAAATTGGACAATATTGGTACAGAGAGTGTAGACAGGTAACTATCAAGTAAGGTAAAAGTAAACACTGTTATCTACCGATCAATACAGGACAGCTACAGATTATGTCCTAAACCACGGCTCTCCCAATGTGTGAAATCTATGAATGGGACACGCACGTCTCCTGTCCTAATCACCCTGTCTGGTCGTCGGTGGACACGTCTATTTACAGTCATGCAAATCGATGACATTTCGGCCTCACCCATAAAGACGAATACGACCTGGTAATATATGGGTCAATGTTAATATCTGTACCCTTTATCCCGAAGACACACCTCACACGCCACTGGATAACGGGATTATGTACGGAGTCGGTTGTGACGTACGTTTCAAACCACATAAGCCATGGGGGAAATAAGGTTTCAAGTACATTTCAATCAACCTGTTTATCATAAAGTAAAACCTATTATAGTACCATGAAAACTGATTTACATATTTTTTACATTAAGAAACTTCTAAAGGAACTTCTATTTCAATATTTCAATTATAAATTTCATCTGTGAAACTTTGACATCAGCATGTTTCTGCCTCTTATTTCCATACTGTTCGCTTGCTTGTGGTTTTCATGACCAGTAAATGTCTAGTATGTTTTTCAGTACACTGATGACACAATTACAACTCAAATCTTTCAGTCAGGATACTGTCAATAATACATATCATGTATATGTGTTCGTTAGCTTATAACTCAATCATACAATGATAACATGTCATTTCTGTTTTCTAATCCTCCGTTGTTTATCTATAAATCATTCTATCTCTCTCAGACCCCAACCCTCATGTCCCCTATCTCCTGGTCTCAATATCTCAATATGTCTGTTTTCTAATACTCTGTTGTTTGTCAATTAATCGTTGTTTATCAATTAGTCATTCCATCTCTCTCAGACCACTCCCTCCGTCCCTTTATTGATCTTTACATCCTTTACTTTATAAAGTCGTTACCAACACAATTGCTCTACCTTTTGGACGCATCCTAGAATATCAATTCCCCCCCCCCCCCCCCCCCCATTTGATTTCATTATAACAAATAATTTAAACAATCTGGACTGTTTTGAGGATTAAGCAAACATTTTTTTAAAGTACAACCAGAAAATGTCTGTTCAGAAATGAAGTAGCTAGAGTTCTGAGACTGATTTTTTTGAAGATTTTCTAAATATAGCAACAGTGACCTTGGCCTTGACCTTTGAAACCCAAAACACAGAGATGCCAGAGGAATTCTCATACATGACCTTTGCTTAAAGTTTGATCAAATGGTCAAAGAATGAAGTTGCTAGAGTGTTAACATTGAATGGTGACAGACAGGATGGGATGGACATAAGCAACACTATATGCCCTAGCTCATCCCATCAATTTTATGAGTGGGCCTAAAAAAACCTTTTCAGAGTTGAAGGTATTTGGGGACTCCTGTAAGTGTTTACATGTGTAAGGATGTGTAGAATCTAACAAAAAGCCTTGCCCATTGTACAGAAATAAATAACATAAATACATCCCATCTGTTGAACTGCCTCCCCTAATCACCACAGAATATCCACTATCCTTCTTTTCCCAATTTTGTTATCTCTGATATTTTTAAGTAGGACATATGGGTTGTTTTTCCTCCTGTTTCCAACGACATATACTTCCTGCCTACTTCAGAGATCTGTCTCTCCTCTGTACAATAACTGTATCACACCGTCAGTCCTGTCTGATGTTAACGATAATTGTACCAGTTATGTTTCATGTGAAGCAATTAACATCAATGAGTCCTTATTGTTTATTTTTCTTTTTGTAATAATTTCTTTATAGTCTTAACAGGAAACTCTTTCAGATCCTTTAGTGTAGTGCTGATGTTACATCCTGTCAAGACAAGAAAATGTTTAAAAGTCAGCGTAAATAGACGAATAATGATAGTGAAATTAGACATTGTTAATTTCTCTATAGAGTTATAATATATACCTTGAATGTTATGCTGGTAGTGTTCACGTTTCAAAGAAGATTTTTCTTGATACTGTAATTAACCTAATAAGTGCTCCATCCTTTGTAAATACCCTTTATCCTTTTCCTGTTGTGACAGTGCCATCCAGATATCTTCATCAATTATATACATTTGTGATACATGTGATAAGTATACTGAGGATTTTGGGAGGTTTTTGTAACCTGAAAAATGTGTCCACAAAAGCTGACAAGGTCTTAGTCTGCGCCAATAATCTAGGAGGTTCTATTGTTGTAGTGGAGGGTGGACAAGTTTGTATTTTCCTGTAACAATTGGCAAGTCCTGCACTATAGAAGATTCGTTTACAAGGGGAAGTCAGCACTAGCATCTAGACATATTGTTGAGTTCAAAAAAAATTGTGAATACATTTTTAATTCAATGTTAGTTTTACAGTAGTCATATAGTTCCAGTTCGCAAAAATTAGTAAAAATATAACTGTAGCTAATTTTGAGAAATTCACAAAAATTATCTTTCACCCCCCCCTCCCCCCATTTACTGTAATTGGGTATAATTGGACCTGTCATAAGTACATCACAAATGGACAGGTGTGACATGGGGCTCTTTGCAGATAGGATGGAATTACATTGAAATTACATCAGGAAGGTTATCCTTTTAACGTATTCGGAATCTAATTCAAAATTGAATTCTTCTTAATTATATCTTAGCATATTTGAACTACTTAGAGAAGAAAGCTAATTATTTTCAAGGTAATTGTAATAATGAGTTCAAAAGAGGTCTTCAACGGATAAAATTGCTGAATTATGAAACAAGATCACAAAATGACATATTATCATGACTGAGTGGCCTTGGGAGCTCTTGGTTGTGCATATCAGCTTCTTTCAATTCATAAGCCACTATATTCAATTTACAAAAAATCTATTTTTTAAATTTCATACTTTAAACAAATACAGTAATTTTCTTTTTTTAGTTCGTGTCATATATCATAAGTTTTTGGGCAGTAATTTGACAATTAGAAGGCCTAAAATAGATTTTGATAAAGTATCATAACTTCAAGGTTTTTATTTTATTTTTGTAACGTTCTATTTAAAGCTGAGGTCATTTAAGGATGCAAATTTTTCAAGGAATTTTCTTTCAAATTGGAAAAACATTCTGGCTTGAATATGAATTAGTTTAACCTTAGATGACAGCATCTAAACATTTAAAGTGACTCACATTCTCAGATTTCCTGTCTTGCCATTGAATCGTGTCTTAGGGATCACGATTACATAACATCTTGATTTAGAGTTTTGTTTCTGGGGATCCCAAAAACGTTCTTTAGCATGATTAATTAATATTTATCTCTTGTGCACAATCTCATTTCCAGATTTTTTTTTCTGATTCATTTCTAGGGTGTTTAAATTTTCCAACTTTATAATTAATCAAGAATATTTCCATGTAACATAAATAAATTCCTAACAGACAGAAAAAAACCCAAAAAAACTGCTCATTAAGAAAGTGTGAAGTCCCTACTTTCATTTTGTAGTTGAGTGCACGCATATCAGATGGAAAATCCCGCTTTTTAGTGAAATTCCACCCCCACCCCCGATCATCACTCACTCACTCACTCACACTCACTCACTCACTCACTCACTCACACTCACTCACTCACTCACTCACACTCACTCACTCACTCACTCACTGTCAATGTCGTTATTTTTTCCCCCCCTTAATTAACATTGAGCACATTATAATAATTGCATCAGAGGGCCAAACATCTTTTGATATGTTTGTATTATGTTGTGTTCTTATACACTGTTCTTACACTGTGTGTTTACAAAAGTCATATGAATGAAATCTTTTGTCTTAAAAAAACACGAATAAAAAGTGCACATTTTCCTTCATCTGAATTGGACACATTTCTTTCAGTTTTTCGTTCTCCCATTAACGTTACTCTACATTAAGATTACAAGATGCCTCATCACTGCTAATTTACGGCGGGCCAAGGGTTCCGAGTGAACAAAATTGCAGGGAAATGTGATGACAACATGTGCATCGCATGTGCAAAACATGCCCTGTACAGTCTTGCGTTGGTAAAGTGATTCATTCAAGTAAAACGAACGCACGATTCTGCATCGTTTTCATCCGTACAGCTGGCATGTTATTCTAATTGTTTACACAAATTCTAAACATAATGATACGCTTCCCACGAAGATCCTCAGAATTCCTATCTGTTAATACTCCGACCATAACACTCGGTCTGACACATCATATCACGCAAGTAGGGGGTGAACTTTCAACAATGTAACACTCCCTCTTTAACTCACACCTTCAAATTCTTCTCCTTTTTCATGTTTTTGCTTTTCTTTTTGAAAATGTCATATTTAACTTCTAACAGATCTTTCTTAGATTAATTACTATAATAATCATGGTATTTTTGAAAATGGAGTTCAAATTGGGGGAAATCTTCGTCAAAACTTTGAAATGTTCAAATAGTGATGAATTGTGAAATGGAAAACATATCTATAGTTTTACCCCATTTGTTGTTTTGAAAGCTGGGTATTTATCTTGAAATAGCAAAAAAGATAACATTCCCTTTTACAAACAGAAAAAGAGTGGGGTGGGGCTTGATAAATCCCTTTCTATTTTTAATTTCCATATATTTGGTATACAGACCATAAGAACAGTGTGCTAGAAACAGAACTTTTATATGATAATTTGTGTTCAAAAGGAAATCAAAAGGAAAGAGACATCTTTCGATAGTAGGAGAATTTGTTTGGTAGTGGAGACAGTTTTGACCCGGAGATGGGAACATTGCAGAAAGGGGAGATAAACAATGGGGAAGGTTGTCTGGTATGCCAAACTTTTAATTTAAAACTTACATTTAATACTTTTGAACTTAATCATTAAATCTAAGCATAATCATTTTTTTCACTTGCTTATCTCCTGAATGCATGTTACGTTGACAACATCATGTTTATTTTTTCCCCTTTTAGACAGTGCATGTTCATCTTTATTTGCCATCAGGTAGTATACACAGCGAGGCTAGTGTTGGGAAGGTTCCTTCAAAGCTTCATCTGTCTGTCAGACTGAACTGTTGTTTACACTTCCTGTCACCTTTGTACATCACAGAACTGTTCTTGATGACTATATAAACTTTTTATGGCAGCTTCCAAGCTTTTACAAACATCACTGCGAAACATTTTCTCCCACATGTTGTCTTTCCCTTGCTTCTGTTACACAACAGACAGGTCCCTAAAATCTGTTTTCTGTCTGTCTTCGTTATAACTGCAATACTTGAGATACTCCTTTCATACAAAACTTTCTTTCAGTTTTAAAAGCCAAGAAAAGCAATGACAGAAACAAACCCAGCCTTCGAAAAAAAAAAATCCAGATGTGTATTTTCAATACTTGACTTTGTTGAAACGTCTGTGTTCTGTCTATGTCGGGTAGCCTTGCCAGTGTGTAGTTGTGTAAGTTTGAAAGGTTCGTTCTGTTTATAAACACCGACAGCAATACTAGACTCTGGTGAGGTGAATGAAACAAATGTTTCTTGCACCAGAAAAGTTCATTGGTTATCAATCAAAACTCGGTTTGAGTGCGTTCATAAATATCTGCTGAATCCGATGGCCTTCAGTAATTTAAAACTTTTATCCATTGTGTAACTAGTTGTACATTTCCCCCCCCCCCTCCCCCCCCCGATTCAACAGATAGGCATTAGATAAGTTAATGACCATTGAATAAGTCTGTAAGCTCAATAACATCATATATAGAAGAACTGCATCATTGAACTTTCACAACCTAAAAGACTTTAAGGAATAAAACCATTTTGTTTGCAAGAATGGAAGGAACATCCTGTGCTTTTATTACACAATTTACCTGAAATTGTGAAGAGAAAATATAAAATTTATCATAAACTGTATAACATGAAACAAATGCCCATCATTGGTAAAATCTACATTCACCAAGTATTGATTTCACTATTAACATATAACTACTATATATATATATATATTGTATACTGTTTACTAATATGCATGCTCCTGATGTATACTTTCTCTTCATTGAGAGCGTAAAAGGCAATAGTGAAACCGTTGTGATCAAGAACATTTTGAGCGAAAGAAAAAAACCAATTCACGATGAATAATGTGAGGCAGCGATATTCAAACTTCAGGTTAATAACTCAAAGTCGATTAGAAATAAGCAAGCTGAATCCCTGACATCAACTGTCGAATAATAATTAAAATTCATAAGCGAATTAAAATATAGATATTCAGAAACAAACTTTACCCAAGAAATCGGAAATCGTCAGGTTCATTAGAAATCAGCAATTTGGATCCCTGACATCATATGTCAAATAACTATAATTCACAAGCGAAATAAAAAAAACAGATATACTGGCACGGACTTCACCCTGGAATTCGGAAAACATGGGAGTCTTGCTTACCTCGTATTGGTCTTGTAGGGAAAACTCTGGGGGGTAGACAATGAAGTGACGGAGGGTGAATCCGTAGCCTTGGTCAGTCCTCGGGATAAACACTGCCCGTGGGCCGTTCCAGGGGGGTAGTAAGGGACTCAGTGGCTGGTCATCTTCACTCGGCTGAAACAACAAAAAAATAACCAAATTTAATATAGACAGCGATAAAGGAATGATAACCTGTCATTCTAGTATATTCTGAAAAAAGATTGACATGCCATGTTATGAAACACTATAGAGTACTATCAGATGGACTTCGAGCGACCCCAATACGAGGAAGTAGAAAACCCCAGGTACATTGATCCCACACAGCTGGGAGTCTAGATCATTAAATCTGTGTATTACGACATCATAGCAAATGTTTCCTTACTTATAGATTAAGTCATCAGTCAGCTATTTCAATGATCATAGGGTGAGGTGAACTATTGACCCCAGGGTGACTGACAGAAGACCAACTTAAGGGTCAAATCGACTTGTAGTGACGTAGTACATCCAATATCTAACAGTTAAAGCCTCCATTGGTCAGTGAAAACCCCCACAGTATTCGTTAGTGATGTAACACCACCACTGCACAGGGTTAGTGAACCCTGTCTGTGTGGTGATACAGCAGGATTATCCCTGGTTAAAATTATGTTAGGTCATTACTTGGACATCCATAATAAACATGAGGCAAAGACTTGACCGTCCGAGTGGACAACACTTCATGGCCGGAACACCAGTAATCACAGGTAATCATAGATGTACATGTGACTGTATACACCTGTACCACCTCATCACAGGTAAGGTAAAACATGTTGAGGAACACATCCTGTCCTTACTTAGTAAACTCTAAATATAGAAACACATAAACAGATCTGGCAATAGAAATTACGCTAAAAAAAAAAAAAAATGAAAATTTTACAATGCTCAATCTTCATTCAGACATATTTTCCCAATTTGTTTTGATTAAGATTACATGTTGACAAAGTATAAAATATCAGGAACTGCCTTGGATTTGCATTCATGAAAAAGAAATATGTCAACCAAGCTCAAAATAAAATTGTACTACCAGGATTTTTTTCTGATTTGCTTGCATCACATATTTAAGGATCCCTGTCCCACTGCACTGCTGTTTTACTTTTATACACTAACCTTCCCTTAAGTCCCCTTTGGATATGCTTCCATTAACAATGTGAGGTCCAGGGTTCGAGTCTTGGTCGAGCCCTGATGAATTTTTACACTCGGAACACTTGATGTTGTTTTATTTAGTTCATCTTTTATCTTTTTCATGAAAATCCCACAAGGTAATTCGGGTTTCTTCCCAGAAATGATATATCAAGGCTATAGTCATGCCGGTAAAAACCAGCTACCAATACTTAGTTCTAGGTACGAGGATCCTTAAACAAATTATAGGTTAAGATCCCGAACAGAAGCTCGGTAGGCACGCTATTCCCGTTTCCTTTTATGATATCCACCAATCCACACTGACAAAATCAACTCCAACTTGTTAACAGGAATCCACACATTAAAGATGCTCTTTTGTAAATGAAAATCTCCCCAGATTCGCAGCAGAAATGACACAAGCCTCTAAACATATGAACACTGAACAGTACGGCCGAGGTTTATAAGGAAACACCTGAGGTCATCACGTTGAGATCAGCCGTAATGTGTAGTATATAAGGTTATACAAACATCTGGCCACTTACATAGTCGCCGCGGTCATCAAACCAAATCTATAATTACAAATGTACCTCTAGGCCTCCAGCTTCAGTTCTGATACAATCCACCATATGATCGTGAATTAAATCAACAATCACACTCATCTTGCTTCACCTTATACGGTATCTATGCATGTTTACCTTCTATATACCTCTCACTTAAGGTCAGAGGTCGGTGTGTAGAAACCATTGCGTGTTTATCAACTGTACATTTTTAAGAATATGTAAATATAACACGTTTATTCCTGGAATGTTTAAGTATCAGCACTATCAGATTCTGTCAAAGAAGACATAAATCTTGTGATTTTTTCGGAGGATTGTAATAAAATGTAAGTAGCGAGAGTGCAAGTGCCTGTTTTTTGTCTTTTACGCTACTAATGTAATATCCTCCGGGATTAAGTACATGCACGAGATTACAGTGTGTAACCCAAAGTGAAGACGACATCAAACGGATCGTATTCCCTGTTTACACAGCCTCGTTGGAAACATCAGTTAACAGTGAAATGTACACATCGTAATGATATTGTATATATAGTAGGTTGAAAATTAAGCAACATATTTTTTACTTCCTATCATTTCTAGTTTACATGACTTCATACTTCATATACCTGGACGATACATTTTCTGTGATACAAAAGCTAAGTATACCAATATCAACCTGATATGTTTTGTCTGAAATTCAACACTTGAAATGAAAAAAAAAGAGTTGTATTTAGGAGTCAGCATTTACGACACAACACAACTACATATGTCATGTTTTTATGAGAAATATGATCACTGAAATATTACCTTGAAACCAACATTCCTTCAAAGCATTGCAAAGTAAATTATTTAAACAATAGGCAGAATATACCTACATGTACTCAGAAGAGGATGACTCTGCAATCTGTTGGCTGAGCATGTTTGTGATCACAGACACTTAAGTAGTACGAAGTATTCACTCAGCAGCTTATGAAATAAACACATTCCATGCCAACACACCATATCTACCAAATCAGGAGGAAAAAAAACGCAACACTGATCCTGCATGATAAAATCACCATATAGCTTTTCACAGATCCAGACCAAACATTTGAAGGATTGAGTTTTCAAATATTTTGAAAAAGCACAATCTATCGTCGAAAAATAAACTTAAAACAGTGATCTAAATGTGATGAAGCCCATTGTAAAACTCATCTGCAAACCAGACCAAACATGCAATAGATACGGATTAGTCTATTCCTGCGAACACCGCTCAATGGAATCACATAAAGCTGTCAGGTCGGTGGTAATCACACATGACATGGCGGCCCTGATGAAGAGATTCACACATACCAATTATCTGAGTCTCCACACAGGAATCACAACACAAAATACCACCGTCACACATTAATCTGCTACAGTTATGTGTTGGTATACAGCCATGATTATCCCATTCCACTGATTAACACTGTATAAGAGATTGCCTTTAAGCTCAGGTCACCTTTTTTGGGGGACCATCTTTTCTCACATCATTTCCTTATTCTCGCTATGTTCTAATGAAAATCCTTAATTCAGAATCATAAGAGTTGTTCTTTTTCTCCTGACCATGTATTTCTCATAATTCTCAGGCATTATATTTCTGTGTCCTGATTTTTTTCTCTGTGACATTACCTAATTGCCACGAAGTTCTATCTTTTGCCATCTCTTTCTCTCCGGCATGTTTTTCTGGTTTTTTTCTTTTTGAAGTTATATTAATTTCTATCTCCAAGTCTAGATCAAATTCAGAATCTTAGAGTAGGCCTTTTTCCCTTTCTCTAGCATGTATCTATCATAATTCTCTGGCATTAACCCCATCCCAGCCCCAGCCCTTTGTTTTTTCCTCTCTGACATTACCTCATTCCTGCTAAGTTCTACCTCCAAGTCTAGATGTAATTCCGAATCTAAGAGTGGCCCTTTTTCTCTTGAGCATGAATCTCTCATAGTTCACCGGCATTATTTTTACCTTGTTTTGTTTTTTAGTTGCTTTCTGATGACATTACATGTACCTTGTTCCTGCTAATTTCTTTCTCCAATTCTAGATCTGATTTCTGAATCTTAAGAGTTGCCCCTTTTTTCCTCTCATAATTCTGTGGCATTATTTTATATTCCCCTGTCATGGTTTTTTTCTGACGCCATCTTTTTTCTCCTCAGACTGTCTTTCTTCTCTCCAACACTGTCTTAACGATAGCATCATGTAGATATATGCTATGTATATGATATTTAAAATTTTACACTGTCTTTAAAGGTTTCTTAAGGGTTCCAGCTGTCTCTGGAAGTAACTTAGAATCAAAATCAGATGATAATCGTACATACTGTGATAAAATTCTCCAGGCCTATCTGACTCTTGTACACGTTGAGATTACAAATGAGTCATGCTCACCATAGATAAGTTATTTTAATCAGTATTCAAAATAAGGAAAAGTAAAGATCCTGAAAAATATGTATATATATATTTTAATTATTTAGAAATATTTTGAAGTTTAAATATACGGAATAAAAATAATCAAATAAAATTTGACAAGAAATTATTGCACAAAATGAGCGTGTTGCATAATTCTTACAGTAAGTAAAGTGTCAAGTAGGAGGCTGAAAATTTAACTCATTCACCCCTACATATCTAAACTGGACTTTCCCAGTCTTTGATTTGGTAAGGTTCAATTGTGACATTAGGGGTTTTAGGTGATTAATGCCATAAATGTCTGTGGGATCATGAGAAGAAATTACAGCATATTTCCTGCTTATAATCATAACCAGCTTAATTGCATACACAGATATGCATATAAGTGTTAAGAATGCAATTTGGCCTGGCCCCCACACCTTCTTTATTTATATATACCTAACGGTATGTGTCATCACGGAGAGTTGGCATGGAAACGCTAAATGTCATTACTTTGTACTATTACTGGTACAATGAATGTGTACTGGGTAGTACATGTATGCTATTCTATTACTCATTGTTAGGTGCAATAGAAAAGGTCGTCAAGATGCCGACTGGGTGATACAAGTATGATAGGCTATTACTCATGTTTAGGTACAGTAGAAAAGGTCATACAGATGTGTACTAGGTAGTACAAGTATAATATTCTATTACTCATGTTTAGGTACAACAGAAAAGGTCATACAGATGTGCACTGGGTAGTACAAGTATGATATTCTATTGTTCATGTTTAGGTACAGTAGAAAAGGTCATACAGATGTGTACTAGGTAGTACAAGTATGATATTCTATTGTTCATGTTTAGGTACAACAGAAAAGGTCATACAGATGTGTACTAGGTAGTACAAGTATAATATTCTATTACTCATGTTTAGGTACAGTAGAAAAAGGTCATACAGATGTGTACTAGGTAGTACAAGTATGATATTCTATTGCTCATGTTTAGGTAGAGCAGAAAAAGTCTTAGAGAACACTGTATTTAAAAATACT